AGGATATAGATAGATGTGTCTTTGGCTTGCCTGTCTTCACATTATATTCCCCCGGTGTGTCTGTCCTAAGTTCTTCATTTGCCATGTGTGCATATATTGTATGTACAGGTACATGTGTGTGAATGGGTGCATGTGCATTTGCACACCTATACATGTAGAGGCCGGAACCATACTTGCTATTTATCCAACAATTTTGGAATTTTTCAGTTTGTTTTGTGCACATGAGGAAATGCGTATAGGTACATGTGTACACCATGGAGACCAAAGGGTAGCCTTGTGTATCCATCATTCTCTCAGGAGTCACCACCTTAGTTTTTTCATATGAGATCTTTCATTTTCCTGGGCTCATAGACTAGGCTGGGTGGTCTGGGCAGCAAGCCACAGGTTTTTACCCATCTCCAGCCTTTCCAGTGCCCGAATTACAAGGCCACGCTGTGGCACCCAGCTTTTAAAATGTGAGACCTAAGAATCAGACTCAGTTCTTCATACTTGCAAGGCCACAAGCACTCTGCCGACTTACCAGTCTAGAATTCAGTAAACTGGCTAAGCTCACTAGCTGCCTTGGAACCTGGAGATCTGCCTGTCTCTACGTCTGCCTCCTCGGAGTGAGGATGTGATTACAGCTCATGCCTACTATCTCATGAGTTGTTGTCTATGTAAATTCTGGGGATTGAACTCAGATCCTTGTGCTTGCCCGGCAAACACCTTATATAGAACTATCTCCCAGGTCTCTCAGTTCTTCTCACGGGACATGGGTCACATTGAGTCAGTCACCTCTTACTTCAAAGGCCTTATCTCCAAACGCAGTTGCATCCAGAAGGAAGGGGTGAGGGGTTAAGACTTTAACACAGGAAATCTGGGCAGTGCCTAGGTCAGCCCTAGCTGGTTTCAGCGGAGAAACTCTTTGCAGCATCCCTTTCCTCCTTATCTGACTCAGAGTGGGGTCCGGTTTTTGCTTCTTTTCTGGCTTCCATTCTGGAGATCATGAGAACTCTCAAGAGAACGATGGTCAATAAAAGAAAGTTGTATGTAGAGTCTTTGTAGCATCCTTTTCCTTTTTATCAGAATTACAGCCCAGATTCCTCTTTAAGTTTGCATCCTGCTCTCTGGTTTGGGGACCTTGAGGATGATCAGGGAGATTATCAGTCTTCGAGTGAGCCTTGCATTCCACACACAGCTCAACTGTCTGTATAAAAGCTGGCCAAGGGTTTGGTACTGCTGTAAATGTGCTAGTTGGTGGGGATAATTGGAAAAACAAGGTAGGTACTCAGCACCCACCTCAAATGCCTCTAACCCTTCCTTTACATCTGTAGAAATTGTCATGGCAGAGGGCTATGGGCACAGACTGTCCAGATCACGTCTTAGTGTGTAGAACTCTGTGCTTGTGAGATTCTTAAGAAGGTTACAGCAGGGCAGTAGGGGTGCACACCTTTAATCCCAGCACTTGGGAGGCAGAGGCAGGCGGATTCCTGAGTTCAAGGCCAGCTTGGACCCTTTCTGTGCCCTTGTTTGCTTATTGAAGTACAGAAAACAGTTGTTCTTATCTCCCTAGGAGTATAACTGTGACCTTCTACAAGCTCATTCTAATAACTCGGTGTCACCACAATTAACATTATCACTCAAATTAACGTTTGTTAGTTGCTTTTGCATGTCCCCTACCCTCAATCCTTTCCCCTGCTTATCCTACGCTATCACGATGCAGATGAACCCAGAGCAAAGGCTGCTCTGCATCTTGAGATATGAACCTGGTTTCTACCTTGATGTAGAGGTTCCTTGTTGCTGCTGCTACCGTTACCCCAGAATGAGAACTGGGTGCTGCTTAGGGGTCAGTGCTTCCTCCCTGAAGTTGATGTGAGTCCTAGCTGAGGACCTGGGAGGAGAGTGCCTGGATTCATGTGGAAACTTGCAAGGGTAGTTTCCAAATATGTAAACCAGGCACAAAACCAATCCTGGGATTGTTCTGCATTAAATAAGATAATCTCTAAGCGGTGTTAACAGGCTGGTGGTAAGCCAGTTGGTTCACCTTATTTTCGAGTTTGAAACTGGTAAAGTAAGGACAAATACGTTTCATTTTGACATCGCCGTCACTGTACAGGGAGCTGCTGAGCACCATAGTTAATTGCCTGGTACCTCTATTTTCAAAGTCTGAGTATGCATGTGCACGTGAGAAGTGGTTGTTGGCCCACCCATTCATCATTTCTACTACCGTGGTGAATAATCAAAAAACAGCTACACAGTGCTCAGAGCTGAGCAAACAGGAGAATGTGCTCCTCTATCTTCGTGTATCAAACCATCTTGCTGCTGATGTTCTTGAGATGCTGTGACTGCCTTACCTTATGGCGGGACCCATGACCAAACACAGAGAGCCAGTGTCAGGTATCATCCATGGCATTCACAGGCTATCCTCTGCCAGGGAATACTTTGTGTGGGTGAACAGTTGTTTGTAATAAAGAGACAGTACTGTCATTCCCCAGATTCCTTAGAAGCAGTAGGTACACAGTCGGTATGTGATAAGTCACATCTATGGAGTTTCTGTGTCCTGAAATTAGTGAGCAGTAGGGGGAAAAAAGCTAAAGCAAGCAGAAACCAGGAACTTCAGAGATGGTAACTTTATGCCCTGTATGTATATATGCATACATAAACATATGCATGATTAGCTGCAAACACACAAAGGTTTTTATGTGCACATTTACATATATGCATTATGTATGCAGTAGTCCCCTGCTATCCTGAGGGGACTGCTCCAGAGCACCTAAGCAAATCCCAGGTCCACAGATGTTGGTTCATCAGTTACTTTTCAATGTTGCTGTGAAAAAATGCCCAATGGAAACAAATTCTGGCTTCCACAGGTATACACACACACACACAGACACGAGTGCACGAGTGTGCACACACTGCACACCCATGCACACATGCATGTGCACAAACACATGCATGCAAACACACATCCACACACACATGGACACATGGTCACAAGTGCATGCACACATATGCACACACACATACAGGTGCACACACATGTATACAAACACACACATACATGCACAGACATGAGTGCATGAGTGCACACACTCATGTGCACACACACATACACACATGCACACACTCATGTACACACACATACACACATGCACACACTCATGTACACACACATGCATACATACACTTGTACATACTGGAGCACATGTGCGTGTGCACACACACATATGCGTGCATGCGCACACAGACACACAAAGATTTGGGTATCTAGAAGTGATGTTAGAGAATTACATAACAGTGGAATCTAGCATCTTCTCACTAACTCTAGCCCAGAATCTGTGGCAGATTTTGAATCACCAGGAAAACAAGCATTTTTGGAATGTGTCTGGAAATGCTCTGGGTGGTGCTGGGCTGAGGGAGAGATGATGCCTCCTTACTACTGGTCTGGGGCTGGAGATCAAAAGTCCTGTTCACACCTGAGCTTCGTGTAGCTCTTTCATTCACACCTCATCTACCGTCCTCCTGTCTTCATCTTCCCTGGCTGAATTCATTGTTGTTTAATTAATAACCTTTGCAGTTTTAGGCTCGCAGTGATGTGAATGGAGAGTTCGTATTCTTCATTCACACACTGAGCTCTTCCTCTTGTCAGCATCTTGAGTCAGACAGAGTGGGGCGTTTGTACAAAGGATGGCCCTGTGTTTATCCACTAGTGCTTTATTCACCAAGCCTATAGTTTACCCTTCCAAGTTGTGCCTGTGCTGCAGTTTGACCACTGCATTATGACTTATGTCTACAGCTATGGCCAGGATAAGTTCATTTCATCTCCCATGCTCCCTTATGCTTACCCCTCCCCCAAGTCCCTGACAGCCTCTGTGTTTTTTTTTTTTTTAATACGTCCATAGTTTTGCCTTTTCCAGAAAGTCGCTGAGTTGGAATTCCGCAGCATGCTGCTTCTCCAGTATGCCCTCTTTCAGTTATCTGTGTGCTTGCAACTCCCCTTCCTGTCTCTTTGCAGCTGTATACCTTTTTTTTTTTGTCTTACCATAGACTGGAATGTTTGTGCGTCATTTACTTATGGAAACATTTTTTTTATTGCTTCCAAGTTAGGATGGTTACAAAGGAAGTTGTTGCAATCATCTCTATGCAAATTTTCATCTATTTGGTAATTACTAAACAGTGTGGTTATTGGTTCATACAGAGAGTGTTTATAGTTTTGTGTGAAACTTTGGTACTGGCTTTGCTTCTCATGTGTTCTTGCTGCTCCGTGTCTTTACTGGCCTTTAGTATTGTCTATGTTTTGGATTTTGGCTATTCTAGTAAGATGTGAGGAGCTCTTGTCAATGTTATCTTTGATTCACTGTGTGAAAAAATATTTAACGTCACCGTTAAGGTTAAGTAACACTGCAATAGTCAGCTCCAAACAGAGGAAGCCACTGGAAACAGCAGAGCCATCTCACAGCCATGCTAACACTGTTAGAGATAAGAAGAGTTAAGTATGTGCTTTGCTGTGGTTTATTTTGAAAACAATACTGCCAGGTACACATGTCGGATTGTCAGGTGTGAACAATTGTACTCAAAAACAGAGAGGCCCAGAATATCATCACTCTGGGCTACAAGTATTTGCTTCTGATTCCGTTTTAAAATTTTCTGTATTTAATGTGTACAACATGGGACTTGTACATGTGCACCGTGATGCAACCATCCTGTATCTGTAAGTCCAGAGTTACTGTCCTTGTGTGTGTGGTCAGAGCACAGAAGGTTTCTCTGTTTAGTAAATTCAGGGTACAGGACTGTTACCATGGAAACACTGTTATACACTGGACCAGCACACCTTGTCCATCCTGTGCATCTGAAATTTTGTACCCAACATTCATCCCCTGTCCTCCCTCCAGCCCCTGAGAACCAGAATTCTACGTTCCGTGTCTATGAATTGGGCTCTTTTATGCACAAGTGAGTTCTTGCAGCGTCTGTCATTTTGTGTTTGACTTATTAATTCTGAATGGAGACCTCCTCCGTTTCAGGTCTTTCAAGTTGCGTATATCATCATTAAAGCCGCCAATGCCCCTCGGCCTGGAAACTGGATTTTGGAGCGCTCTGTGGATGGTGTCAAGTTCAAACCCTGGCAGTACTATGCAGTCAGTGATACAGAGTGTTTGACACGCTACAAAATAACTCCACGGCGGGGACCTCCCACTTACAGAGCTGACAACGAAGTCATCTGTACCTCGTATTATTCTAAGCTGGTGCCACTTGAACATGGAGAGGTACGGTGTACACTGCAGAAATGGCGTTTGTCATCTGAACCACCTACCTCAAATGTTGCCATGATATCTCTCATAGGAGCCTAAGCTAGACATTCAAAACCAATCACCCTTAACCCAAAGGTGTACTTGTGGCTACCTCACTATTTAAAGTAGCCTTGACCTGTGTCTGTCTTGATTGCTTTCCAGCGTAGCGTTCTCTTAGTCTTCACTCTGCTGTCCCTCTATCTCCCCTGCCCCCACTCCCCAAGAATCATTCTATAAGACCAGAACAATGTGCTATATTGGGGAGAAGCCAGGCATGATAGCATATAACTCTAGTACTCCAGAGACTGAGGCTGGAGGATCATGAGTTGGAGGGATAAATAGCAAGACTTTGTCTTTACTCAAACAGGGATAGATGAAAAGCAGAGAACAAAGGTGCTTCTGAAAGGTGTTGCTTCTTGTTCTCCCTCCCTTTCAGAGGTGTGGAGATTGGGCTGCCCAGTACAATGTATATGTACTTCAGTAATCTGTGAGTGAAACAGAAACAGTGCCTTGCTTGATGAGTGACCCCTGTAAAAACTCTCAGGTGCTCTCCATAGCAAAAGCTGGGCAGGAGGCTCTATAGTTACAGAGCTTGAGTAAGACAGAAGACATCCTTAAGTTTGGGGCAGATTTTCCTTACCCTCTCCAGCCTGTTCATGGCATTAGGCATTTGCTTCTGAGAAGCTATAGCATAATAGTAGGTATTAAAAGACCCCCACAATACAGGGCAAAGTTTACTACTGAAAGAGTCCCAGACATCTCTGAGATGGTAGAGTGGTTAACCCACATACTGAGGTATAATGAAAGTTGCTGTTTATGAGTACCTAACATACGTTAGATGAGGTATTTGTTTATGCACAGCCTAGTTTTCAGATTTGTCTTTGTAATGATTCTGTCACAGGGCTTCATTGTACATGTGTACACATTACACATGCATGAAATTGACATGTGTGTATGCCTCTGTCCAGATTCACACATCACTTATCAATGGCAGACCCAGCGCTGATGACCCCTCACCCAAGTTGCTGGAATTCACCTCAGCACGGTACATACGCCTCCGTCTGCAGCGCATCAGAACACTCAACGCAGACCTAATGACCCTCAGCCATCGGGATCTCAGAGACCTTGACCCTATTGTCACAAGACGTGTGAGTATGTGGTGGGGTCCCTGACCATGTGAAAGCCTTTGTTTCAGGGCACATTCTTTTCTTCACTTCCTTTGGTTGGCTTCTTGCCTTCCCAACTATCCATACTTTACTGATGATTATCTCCTGTCGTTAGTCATAAGGCTAGCTTGGTGATGGCCCCAGCATCCTCAGGGGCCCTGGCTCCCTCCTACCTGCCCCCATAGAGAAGTAACCTGGAGAATGTAATGGCCTTTGTCCTAAATATCCTAGCCTGGCTCCACATCTGAGCTTCAGCGACTTGGGTGTTTTAATTTTTTTTTTATTTGAAATGATAAAATTTGAGAAATATTTAAGAAAATGTTTACATGTTAAGTGTCCAGTTGAGGATAAAATACATGTGTGGACAAACATTGTATGCTCCTCCCATTACTTCAGAGTGAATTACTAGGTTGTGGGTAGCTGGATGTGTAACTCTACTCAACTTTTGTCAAAAACAGATGACATATTTTATCCACACTAGCAACACGTGTGATCCCTGAGCCTATCACACACAAACATCCAGTATTGTCGGTCAGGCACTGTGGGATTCTGGGACGTCATTCCATGGCTCATTCTGGTGGTATTCAGTTGTATTTCTCTGATGATCTGGGTTGAGCCTGTCAGAACTCACAGCATTTTTGGGGAGGTCCATTTTTGTGTATTTTGTGTTCAGATCAGGTTATGGAAATTTTCTTATTGGGGTTTTCTATTCACCTTGAAGCCATGACTTTTGTTGAACAGAGAGCCCATTTTTGAGTGAAATCCATCTTTTTTTTTGTCTTTTGTTGTTGTATTATTGACCACTTTCTGTAGCTTCTCAAAAAATATTTGTTTTTTCCAGGTTTCCAAAGATGTTATTTTATCTTTTGGTCTAGTAGCCTTATGGTCCTAGCGTCTGCACTGATCATCCATCCCAAATTAGTGTTTGTGTTTGGTGTGAGGGTCTTCCTTATATCTACATGTGATTCTGTAGAGCTAAGTGTCAGAAATGATTGACTTTCTTCCACAATCTTTCTTCTGTTCTGACACTGTTGTTGGGCACTGCTGGACTTTATTATTCTGAGTCTGTTTCTGTAGCAAATGCCCCATTGGTGCATTGATCTGACCCCATCCCATTGATGGGGTTATGGTCTAACCTTAGGGAATAACAAGCATTTGATTTCTGCAGCTTTAGGTTAAATATCACGGTTGTATACTATATTAGTCCAGATTGGCTAGTGTAGATTCCTGGCATTCTATTTTAAATCTTTATTATTGCATACTTTGGTGTATCTATATAAACATGTTCCATATATATATATATATATATATATATATATATATATATATATGCTCCAGGAGGCCAGCTGAGAGCAAGATGTCCCCTGAAGCTGGGGTTACAGGTAGTTGTTGGTTGTCCAGCATGGGCACTGGGGATTGAAGTCTGGTCCACTGAAAGAGCAGGAAGTTCTCTCAAGCATATCTACCTAGTACCATTTATATTTTCTTTAAAAATATTAGAATCAGTTAATTTCTACCCAAAGATAAAAACACTTACTAAGATTTTCATTAAGTTCCATTCTTTAGATCAATACAGGAAGAAATTTGTAAGGCATTTAAACAATATTAAGTCATCCAATCATGATGTCAATGGTATTGTCTGCATTAAGCCTGCATGCCAGTATTTCACTGTTTATTAGTAAAGCTGTGATTCAAAAATACAATAAGAAATCACAGTTTTGTAGCATATGTCTCCAGAGGTAAATCTCCATCATTTGTAGCCAGTGCACTCATGTGCAGATAGCCTAAAAAACAAGCAGCAGAAATAATAACTGAGATCAGCAATGGAGTAATGCAAAATGAACAAAAAAAGTAAGCCCATTTCTATACCGTGGCAATGAGCAAGGGAAAAGAAAACCAACAAGAAAAGCTAACAACAGGAAGAGACAAATCACAAAGCTGTGATGCAAAGTGATTTCAAAGAAAACACACTTCCTTCTGTTCCAAGGCCTGGAACGAGCACTAAGGAGAGTGTGAACCCAAGAATCTAAATCTACATGATGATGTTTCCTCCTGTACCAAACTTACCCACCTTATACACACTCTAACCCTAACCCTAACCCTAACCCTAACCCTAACCCTAAACCTAACCCTAAACCTAACCCTAACCCTAACCCTAACCCTAACCCTAACCCTGAACCTTGAACCATGAACCCTAACCCTGGACCTTGAACCCAGAACCTTAACCCTGAACCCTATGCCTAACCCTAAAGGTTAATTCCCTCAAAATGAAGCAGGGTCAATAACGAAGAGGGGTGTTTGGCTTACAGCGAAACCATATCGAAAGCATCTTTTAGATACATCCTCTTACTTACCCAACTTACACACACCCTAACTCTAACCCTAACCCATAACCCTAACCCTAACCCATAATCCAGAACCCTGAACCCAAAATCCTAAACCTGAACCCTAAACCTGAACCCTGAACCTTGAACCCTGAACCCTAACCCTAACCCATAACCCATAACCCTGAACCCTGAACCCTAACCCTAACCCTCTAACCCTAATGGTTAATTCCCTAAAAATGGAGCAGGGTCAATAATGAAGAGGGGTGTTTTGCTTACAGCCAAACCATGTCGAAAGCTTCTTTTAAATACTCATGTCCTCTTGATGAGCTAACCTGAGCATTATTACTTTCACCTGAGCACCAAGGCTCTTTGTGTGTGAAATAACATTTTAAACGTGCATGTAATTAAGTTTAGAGTACCAAAAATTAACTCACGAGCCCAGGTGAGATATTTGTGGGGCGTCATCGCTTACTTTGTGCTAAAATGAAGGGTTTTTTAAACTTCTGTTTGTTACACTCTTTTCCCTCAGTATTACTATTCGATAAAAGACATATCCGTTGGAGGCATGTGCATTTGCTACGGCCACGCTAGCAGCTGCCCATGGGACGAAGAAGCAAAGGTTTGTTCTAGTGTTTTATACTTACTGGGACCTCGATACAGAAGGTATAACTGCAACATTTTCCTGTCTTTACTGAAAGGCAGACAGTAAGAGGCATCAAACCAATTTTTAAAAAAAAATAATGAACTGGTTTTGGTTTTAGCGATGTCATCAATTTGCTTTGGCTGGAGGGCTGGTTTCTAATAAACCCTTACTGTGTTGTTTATAGTAAGATATCTATGACAGGAAACTGACAACTCCAGGATCTCCCATATTCTTATAAGAGAACTGGGCATGTGCTGATGTAAGTTATATGTGCTAACTTTATGATTCCCTTCTTTCCATTATTGCAGATTCTAAACAAGGAAAAAAAATAGACTTTGTTTGGTGTAATGGAAAAGAGTTGGATAACTCTTTTCAAAATATTTATCTTTGGAGTTTTGTACCCGTTAAGTAGGAATATTCTGTTTTATTTATTTCACTTATTGTTAATTCTAGTTGTTTAATCTTTACACTACTTCAGGATACCATGCATACTAGACAAGCACTCCACACCCTCAGCCCACATTCTATATTAAAATTATTTTTAACATTTATTTATTTATTTGGGGAAGCATATGAAGAGGGCACAGTGCACATGTAGAGATCAGAGAGAAACTCACACACCTCAGTTTTCTTATTCCATCTTGTGACTCTCTGAGGTGGAACTCAGGCTGTCAGGCTTGATGGCCAGGGAGATGGCTGAGCCGTTTCATTGGGCTGCTTTTCTGTGTTTTGATGCTGAAAAAAATATTGATAGATATCAGAGAATCATCAACCAAACTATGCTAAAATCTCTTAATAATTAATCAAAGTATTGATAAAGACTCCCAACCCCTAAAGTCAATGAATCCTTTTAAAGAACATTCTTGTGAGTTAACACACATCTGTTTGTAATCGGGCTATGGGTGCGTGCGTCTTCTCCAGAAGTGAAATGCCGCTGGCAGCTTGACAGCATGACAACGTGACCTAGCACTTACTGACTTTACCTGGTTGCTTTTAGTTCCTTGAGTAAAACTAAGAATAACACGTAGGTAAAGTTCTGAGCTTTCGTTTCGTATCTTTGTCTTGCCCAGCAACTACAGTGTCAGTGTGAACATAATACGTGTGGTGAGAGCTGTGACAGGTGCTGTCCCGGTTACCATCAGCAGCCCTGGAGGCCCGGAACCATTTCCTCCGGTAACGAGTGTGAGGGTGAGTACGCTTACAGCATAGAGAGCCAAGGCTCCGCCTTCATGTGGTGGTTAAACTCATGGCGTCTAGATTGTTATGAACATTACATACCTAGCTTTTCCAGCATTTCAAATACTGCCCAAAGCCGAGCACGCCTCTGTGACATTTAAGGGCCGAGGGGTAAATTGTAGATTTTTGCCTCCGTTTCTTAGCCCGTGCATTTGTTTGTTAGCTAGCTACACATCTGAAGTTGAGATGAACAAATTACTTGATTATGGTACTGGATATTGAATCTATAGGAGTCTGCCACGCTGAGAAACGTTCTACCCCTGACCTACATCTCGAGCTATCGTTACTTTGGCCGGTGACATGGCTCAGCAGGTAAAGCTACTTGTCGCCACACCCAGTGACCTGAGCTTAAGCTCTGGGATCCACATGGTGGGAGGCAAGAGGCAACTCCTGTAAGTCATCCTTTGATCTCCATAGGCAGCTGTGGCCTGCACATACCACACCCCAAACATACCACACACGCACACACACACACACACACGTTAATAAAAATATGTTTAAATTAAAATTTTTTTCACTTTATTTCCCTCCTTCCCATATTTTTTTCTGAGTGTTTGTGTTATATGTTAATATAGAATATATTATTAAAATAATTTTATATTTATTTGAATATATTAGTTGAATAAAATGGATATGTATTTGAAATATATTATTTGAAATAAATATTTCACGTAAAATTGAAATATATTCTCATTTGAATATGCTATCCAAATGAAACTGAATGTAGTTTCAATGTTCCTTTTGTGGAAAATGATATAATAATGTATGCCATTCAACAGAATTGCTTCTTAAATGCCATTAATTTTTTTTTAATTTAACTGTTCCATGTGTCTCTGCATGTTTTCCTACTTATAATCTGTACATTACTTGCATACCTAGTGCATCGAGAAGGCATCAGATCCCCAGAACTGGAGTTACAAATGGTTGTGAACCACTATGTAGTTGCTGGGAATTGAACCTGGGTCTTCTAAAAGAGCAGCTATTGCTTCTGAGCCATCTCTCCAGCACCCAGATTTTCTTTTAATTTTAGCCCTGGGACTCAGATTTACTCAACAAGCACTCAACCCCTGATCCACACTCCAAGCCTACCATATCATTTTTTTTTTGTGGGGGAAACAGGGTCTCCTTTTACAGGATGAGGGTCAGACTCTATCACGCTTAAGCCTGTAAACTCTGAGATGACCTAAGTACACTACCACACCCACCCAGTACCTTTACTTATTTTGATGGCAATTCCCATTCCCCTGAAACCATTTTCAGTATCTTTTTAGAAAGTATTTATTTATTTAATGTGTATGGGTGTTTTACACGTATGTAGCCTATGCCTGGTGTCCATGGAGGCTAGAACAGGGCACCACATCCCCTAGGACTGGTGTTAAGGATGGTTGTGAGCCACCATGTGGGTGCTGGAAACAGAACCCTGGACTTATGGAAGAAGAGCCAGTGTTCTTAACCATGGAGCCATCTCTCCAGCCCCTGCCTATATCTTACAGATTTATTTATGTTAGAATTTTAAAACACAGAGACTTCGTGAAATGAGGGTTTTCTTTAAACTGGGACACATCACGTGCGTTAATTGAGATATTAAAATATTTCCTAGAATGCAACTGTCACAACAAAGCCAAAGACTGTTACTATGACAACAATGTTGCAAAGGAGAGGAGAAGCCTTAACATTGCGGGGCAGTACAGCGGAGGAGGGGTTTGTATCAACTGCTCACAGAACACCACAGGGATCAACTGTGAAACCTGTATCGACCAGTATTACAGACCTCACAAAGTAAGTGTGTGCTTCTTGCCATAGCTGAGCTTCTGTGCCTACTAGATGGAAGATATGCCTCATTAACTCTCAGCCTCTGTTCTGAAGGATAGCTTCCTTTTTTTATATATTCCACGAGACTGGTGTTCTTCAGATTTTCATCTCTTATAGTGGTTTGGTTTTTTGCTTAAAGTGGGAATGTGTGGCTGTTGTTATTCAATTTGAATTGGGGTCCTGTGAGGTATGTAATTGCAGATAATTCTAACTGTAAATGTGCAGATTCAGGTAATAACTAAAGGGGCCACACCTTAGCCATAGGATGCATTCACTCAACCCCCCCCCAATTGACTTGAAATGCAGCTGAACCCTTGAAGTGGGCTTGCTCACTGACAATGTTCAATGATGGCTGTAATAGGTGATGGAGAGAAGAACAGTGGAAAGAAGAAAGGGTGACACTTTGCTGTCACCATCACAAAGATATTTAGAGCCTCTTGCCTGGGGCCATTTTATCTTCCTGACACCTACATCCCTTTACAGAATAGCACTGTGATAGACTCTCACCCTGAACAGGATGCTGATACCTCATGGTGACATTTCGATTATTATTCCAAACCACGCTGTTATTTCTGGTGAGGTCATCCAGGACAACTTCTGTCTTGCAGGTATCTCCTTACGAGGACCAGCCTTGCCGTCCCTGTGACTGTGACCCTGTGGGATCTCTGAGTCCTGTCTGTATCAAGGATGACCTCCATGCCGACTTAGCCAATGGTAAGGACTTGGTCTGTTGTGTGTGCAGTGGATCTGTTTGTGCTGGGTAGAGTTGTTACCAGGACGTAGAAATGTGAGAATTTGATCCTGCATTGAGTCTTTTGTCTACCAGGTATTCATTATCTTCTACATAAAACTGAGCCCTCTAGTGCGTGGAGCTTCTGTGAGACACTGCATTCTCTTACTCTGGCTCTGGGAGGGTCATGTTGTTGTGTGGGTACCACAGATAGTTCTATAGCTCAGTACTATTTTTTTGCTATATCACATTTTACATATTCAAGTGTGTATCAATTGACAGGTGAATATTTAAAACCTGATATTTATATTCACCACGGGAATCTAAAACATTGACTGCAGCTGTGGTATGCCCAATCACACGTCTTTAGAGGAAAAGCCTTGGGTTATTCATACCTTCCAGCCATTATGAATAACAAACACTCCTATGAGCCTTCCTATGCAGCTAATTTTTTGAGTGTATGTTGTATATTACTCTGGGACCAGGAGTGGAGTTGCAGCATCACATGGTGGCTCTGCCTGTGGGTCTTCATCTCAGTGTCTCTTCACACCAGAGCTACAGCAAACTGTGGCCCGTGGGCCAAATCTGTACATGGTGGTCTTTAAACAGCTGTGGACATTTGTGTATGTATAGTCCATGACTGTGTGAGAGCAGTTAAGAGGGACTATCTACTTAGCTTGACCTGAAATCCTGCTCAAAGAAGTTGCAGTTGGCACGAATTGGCCCCCTACAGAAAGTTTGCAGACCCCCTGCTTTAAACCCTAGACCTTCATGTGTTCATCAGTACTGCTTTTTTTCCTCCCCCAGGGAAGTGGCCAGGTCAGTGTCCATGTAGGAAAGGTTATGCAGGAGACAAATGTGACCGCTGCCAGTTTGGCTACCGGGGTTTCCCGAATTGCGTCCCCTGTGGCTGCAGCACTGTTGGCAGTCTGAACGAGGACCCGTGCACAGAGCCATGTGTTTGTAAGGTGAGTGTGGAAATCAAGGAAGCTTTGAGTCTCTTCTGGGGTTCTCTGCTCCCCTGGCTCAGATGATCGAGCCCTTTGCAGAGCAGGGAAGCTTAAGTTAGAAACAGCATGTCACAACAAGATGGCTCTATTCTGTGCCTTTGGATTGAGACAGGCACCTGGCTTACCCTTTTGTGACCCTCTGGGTAATGACCATGGATTCCTGAGGCGTTTGTGCGACTTCTTATATGAAACCTAATACTATGTGCCATTTTCTTGGCACTGTGGCATTGCCACAGCTCCGTGTTTGGAGGAGAACCAGGTACATGCTGGGTTTCCCAGAACTCTAATGAAATGTAGATCTGTTATCTTGCATTTCTCTTGAAAGAGAATTGTATAATCATAGGAATGCACACACACAGTGCCCAAGAAGGGTCTTATTTGGCCATATGATATTAATAACCATTTCCCCGGAATTCTTGAGATTTCCTGTTTGTACCTTCTGCCTCATTCCCATAAAAGCAGAATCCTCTGTCTGTGTCACATGTGACCCAGAATAAGCTTGAGCATTTATAAGTAAAACAAATAGTTATATAGCCCTCTTTAAATAGGAAAGTGTTAACACAAGCAAGGCATGTTGTGTATGCCTATAATCCCAGTGCTGGGTGGGGTGTCTGGAGGGGTTTGAGAAGTGGAGGCGAGCCAACTAGCCTGGGCTGCACAGTAAGACCCTGTCTCAAAAGGAAAAACAAAACAAGTTTATTTCAATGTACTGACCAAGCACTAACATCTTAGACTTGTTCTCAGTGACAGAATCAGGCAAGTTGTCGCAAGCTCTCTACTCATAAAAACCCACGGTCTGGGGTTTCCCACGTTCTTTGAATATTTATTTAACTGAGTGTTACCTGTTTTTGTGGACTCTACTTACCAAGACCAAGTACATGTCGTTTCTTTCTGTCTGTCTGGATACACCAGCCTTACTAGCTAATCTTTTACAGAAAAATGTCGAGGGAAAGAACTGTGATCGCTGTAAGCCAGGATTCTATAACTTGAAGGAACGAAACCCCGAGGGCTGCTCCGAGTGCTTCTGCTTCGGTGTCTCTGATGTCTGCGACAGCCTCACGTGGTCCATCAGTCAGGTGGGAGATGTTGCAACATCCTTAACCCCCAGCAGCTCATGGGGGAAGCCATGTTAGGAAGCCAGGAGGCCAAAATCTTCCATTGGAGGGACCAAGGCATCCATGGAAGGCAGCCCACTCCTAAAGCATTGCTACATGTTTGTACTAATTCACGTGTTTATTGACATATATGTTTTCCAGTTGAGATAATTGGCTGGGATGGTGCTGCAGGATGCAACCTGTGTCCCCTCTTTTGTAGGATGCAATTGGGGACATGGGGGTTTCTCATTTTGGAGTGGAGGCATCCCAGGGGTAGGAGAAGTTCAAGAGCAGAGGGCTTGGAATTATAGAACAGGCAGGCTATGGGGTGTGGTGAGGCTGGGGCTGAGTCTGAAGGGTTCACAGGGTGATGGCTGGAAATTAGGGAGGGGCTGCTAGGCTCTGGATTTACCCACTACTGACCATTGGAGTCACCACACTAGGGGGCTCTCCTCACCGCTGGGCAAGTGAGACATTGGTGGTATAGAGTCTGTTTTAAAATATTTTTAATCATTAATGACTTTTTAAAAACTTCTTTTTCTTCTCCTTTTTTTTTTAGGTGACCAATATGTCAGGGTGGCTGGTCACTGACTTGATCAGCCCAAATAAGATCCGATCTCAGCAGGATGCCCTGGGTGGGCACCGTCAGATCAGCATCAACAACACGGCAGTCATGCAAAGACTTACTTCCACTTACTACTGGGCAGCTCCTGAGGTCTACCTTGGAAACAAGGTGTGTGTGTGTGTGTGTGTGTGTGTGTGTGTGTGTGTGTGTGTGTGGTGGGGATGTCCAGCTATAAATCTGAGAACAAAGTGTGTGGGGGTGGGTAGGGATGTCCAACTATAAATCTCAGAGAGCATTAAGAATTTGAAGCAGACTTACTGGCCATGAGTTTGGTAGTGCTTACAGACTGCATCATGCACACATATTCTGCACTAGATCTCACTAATCCTGTTGGACTTTGCAACATCCTATCATTCTCTGCTCTTCTGCATCCGGTTCCTAAACAGTGTCTTGCGACTCTCATTCCCTTCACTGTGACTGACTTTACCCTTTGTTCCTCTGGGTCCCTGAGTAACTCAGACCTTCTATGGAGCATGGCTGTGTTGCCACTTTGCCTAGCTCACAGGAGACTCTGTGCATGGTGCAGCAGAGGATGCCCAGAGAGACACTCCAACAGTGGAGGTCTGCTCAGCTTCCATTTCTACATCAATACACGCTGCTGCTCATGTGTGGGTCACAGACGTTCAGAATAACACCTGTTTCATTTAAGGAAAATGCAAAACAACCATCTACGTTTTTGATTGTCCAGAGAGCTGATTGAAGTTTCTTGTCATTGGTGCTTGATTTCCACCAGCCAATTAATTATGCCTGGTCTCTCCAGATTCTCACCAACTAGTAAATACAGCCAACAGCATCAATTTAAATAACTTTATGGTTTGGTTTAAGGTGATGCTGTACGTTCATAATAGACTAAACTTCTAGTTATTTTTATTGCTATATTTTCCAATTTGTATATACATGTGGGTGTATGAATATATACAGAACTATCTGTTTGGGGAACAGGCTCTTGCTTTGTAATCCTGTTTGGCCTTGCATTTGTACTCCTGCCTCAGACTCCAGAGTAACAGAATTGTAAGTGTGTGCTTCTACATGTGGCCTAACTTGTATATTACAATACATGATATGCTCTGTTTATAGGATATTACCTCCAGAGAGATTTAAAAAAATATTTGTGCGATTGTACCATTGCAGTCTGAATTTTGTGACATATTCCTAATGAAGAAACTCTCCAATATACATTAGTGACCCTCCAGTATACATCAATGAGCATCTCTAATATGCATTTAAAGGAAAAAATATTTTGAGAGCTTCATTTAAATGGCATGTCTAACAAGCTTGGCAATAGTGAAAAGGTTCATTTAAGTAAAATAAATATGGCTGCCTGGAGGGGTCAGCAGGAAAAGGTGCTTACTGCCGAGTCTGACAGGGTTCACTGCCTAGGATCCACATGGTAAAAGGAGAGAACCATCATCTTCCACAAGTTGCTGTCAGACCTCCACACCTATGCCACGGTGTGCATGCCCATACACAAATAGATGGAATAAAATCCTTTTTGATTAATTAATTTTACATTTGGATGTTTACCTTGGGGACTTGTAGAAAGATTATATCTCTTTTTTCACGTGTCAAGGATTTCTTTACCATCTACTATTTAGATCTACTAAATAGTATCTGATATGCCTTTAAGTGTGAATTTCCTTCGTATGGCCATCAGGATGGTTCATGTCTATATATACCCAGGTGGATCTTAGCAATGGTTTCCCCTGACTTAAGGCTATGACTGTTGTCTCCTGCCCCTCACCCTAAACTTACTCTTCCAGCTGACAGCATTTGGCGGATTCCTGAAATACACAGTGTCTTATGACATCCCCGTGGAGACGGTGGACAGTAACCTCATGTCTCATGCTGATGTCATTATCAAGGTGACTGGTTTGATTTGCTGTAGAGATTGAGGTCTGGCGGGGTGGCACACACATGAACACATACTCGTGTGTGTGTGTGTGTCTATGTGTGTGCATATATATATATATGTGCATGTATGTATGTATGTATGTGTGTATATGTGTGTATGTGTGTATGTGTATATGCATATTTATATATATGTGCGTATGTGTGTATGCATATATATGTATGTGTGTATATGTGTGAATGTATGTGTGTATGTGTATATGTATGTGTGTATGCATAAGTATGTATGTATATGTGTGTGCATATGTATGTATGTGTGTATATATATGTATGTGTGTACGTGTATTTGTGTGTATGTGTGTATGTGTATATGTATATGTGTGTATGTGTGTGTGTTTATGTATGTGCCATATATGCACAACTGCACATACACATGGAGAGAAAAAGGAATACAATTAACTGCCCCTCCCTTGGTAACTCAGGATTGGGTCATATCCTCCATCACACATTTGCTGTAGGAACTTGATTGCTGGATACAGAACTTAATTTTGGGGCATTAAATTGAATTACAAATGTCTTTCCTCTCCATTTTAAATGCTAGGGAAATGGGCTCACTGTCAGCACAAGGGCTGAGGGCCTGTCCTTGCAACCCTATGAGGAATACTTCAACGTGGTGAGACTTGTGCCTGAGAACTTCCGGGACTTTAGTACCAGAAGGGAGATTGACCGTGACCAGCTGATGACTGTCTTGGCCAATGTGACACAGCTCTTGATCAGAGCCAACTATAATTCTGCTAAAATGGCACTCTATAGGTATATACTGAAATGAAGGGAACGGATCTCTACATAGGTAGTGCAATCTTGTCTTTAGTGTTACTTCAAGGTTAATGTTAAAATGAGGGATACAGTTAAGGGAACTGGGTATATTAGAATTGCTTTCACACGTGTAATGTTGTCGAAAACATGAGACACAAGGACAAGCATGTCTGGTTGGAAAGAGATGACTTTAGGTTCAGGGAGCTTCCAGCTTCCAAGTAATGCTTAGTGAGTTTACAGCATCTGAATCTCCTTGCCCTTCTTTCTTGCCCTCTCTCTCTCTCCTTTCATTCCTCTGATGCCCATGGCCTTAGTCTTGCACAGTTATATGAGCTAGTGAGTCCATCCCTGGTCATTTGATTGCCTTGAAGAGGTCAGTGTGTGAAAGTCAAGTGTAAAATTGGATGCTGCTAAAGTCAGCCTGGTCCAACCCAGGAGAGGATAGTCTCCGTATTCATGATGAGGCAACGAATCATGGCAAAGTGCTTTCATTGCACTCCAAATTGGCTCTGTCAGAGCTTTCCCTCAGCAGCCTATGGGCAGTAGCACTTCTTGTCAACAACCGTTGGGATATCTCCAGAGAAGAATGATGGCTGCCAGGGTGCTTGGTGAGGACTCTCTGACTGCACACAGACATCACATGTGCATTTGCTTTAAATAAACCGTGTAGGAGCCTATCTTCAGGGAAGCATGAGGTCTTTTGCAAGCATGAGAGCTATGAAATGACCTTCGTCTGTTTGCAGGTTGGATTCTGTCTCTCTGGACATAGCAAGCCCTAATGCTATTGACCTGGCAGTAGCTGCTGACGTAGAACACTGCGAATGTCCCCAAGGCTACACGGGGACCTCCTGTGAGGTACTGCTGGCCTCTGACCATCTCTCCCTTTCTCTAACTTCCTAGGGGAAAGGTCTGCTGAGGTCCATGTGATGAACATCTGCATTTAACTTTAGAGAACTCCCACCATGCTTAGACCTTATTGAATTATGAGAGTATTGGGCATCATGTTGTTTTAAACAGTGCACCTTGCTCTTGCAAAGGACCCGAGTTCCGTTCCCAGCATCCATTATCAGGCAGTTTTTAACTGCTTGTAACTCTAGCTCCAGGGGCACCTGACACCTCTGACCTCTGCCAGCACCCACACTCCTGTGCACATACCCACATACACACTAACCACACATGTACTCCATACCCCATCACGTCCTGCACTCACATACCCACACCCCCACACCACACGCCATACACACACATATACACACTCACATGTACATACCACATACACCACACACCACATACATATACATTACCACACACCATACAAAACACACACATACATACACACCACACATAACACACATACACACCACACATAACACACACAACACACACATACCACAACATACACACATATACATACAACACACACCACCACACTCAACACACATATACCACACATAACATATACTACACACCACACATAACACACATACACACCACACATAACACATACACACACATCACACATAATACACATACACACCACACATAGTACACACACATATACACCACACATAACACACACATACACCACACACATACTAAAACATACACACATATACACACCGTACACACACCACCACACACCACACACATCACACCACCACATACAACACACAACACACACATATCACACTACTACAAATGACACACATACACCACACATAACATATATCACACACCACCACACACATACCACACACCACCACACACAATACACATACACCATATATACCACACATAACACACACCACACACATACCACACCAAACACACACACACACACACACACACACACACACACACACACACACAGATACAGGTCTGTCTCTCCCAAAGATTAGGGACTTTTAAGACAGTGAGATTCTGTAATGTAGCCTTGGCTTTACAGCTAGGATATGGTCATATTGGGGTTTGGGTCTCACTAGCATAGTTAACCACTGTGTACACAGTCAGGCCTTCCTCATGGTCATGGTTCATAGTTGCTATGAACATTTATTACTGATTGTTATATCTTTCCAATCATTTTACAAGGAGACAATTTAGTCATTTTTATCAGTCTTTAAAATTATAGATGGTGTAGTTAACAAAGATGACCTAATAGCTTATGATGTAAATATTTAAGTACTTGTATTTTAAATAATTTTGCAAGGTTTTTATTTCTTTTGTATTTGATACCAATGAACATTTTTTTTAGGTATAAAGGATGTAACTTTTAGGCCTACCTAACATATTCTGGGTCCAGGCACTCCATGTTTAATGCTTACTGGATAAATGACGATAGACTATGGAATAAGAGACCACAGGTATAAAGCAGGGGAACCCTGCATTTAGAGACTGAGCCAGCAACGCCAGGAGAGATGGCTGCTCCTAGACTCATTCCAAGTTCACTGGGTTTTGGAGGAAGTGGTGCCAATGTGAACAGGTTCATGCAAAAACGAGAGGCTGAATCGATCTGTGCCCCAGTAGCCCTGAGACATCAGTCCCAGGATCCAAGGAGAATATCCCAACCTTCCAAATTGCATAAAGGATTTAAGGATATTTTCATATACCCCAGGGACGTCACTTTTGTATACTTTATTTCTTCTCTAAATCACTTATAAGATCTTGAACAATTTAAATGCCAAGTAAAGGGTTCTTAAAGTATATTGTTCAAGGAATAGTGGTCAGAAAGATGCGTTTGTCTGAGACATATTACATAATAATATTCATTCATTGTTGTTTGAGTCTGTGACTATGGTCCCTGAGGACACATGTCAGCCAACTGTGCTTTGTTTAATGTTTCTCATTAAGAGAGGAGTTTGACTGACGTCAGGCTGATGCTTGCAGGAATGGCTTTCTCTGCAGCACTTTAAGCTGCTTGCCTGTGGGCTGACATTCACTAAGGAAAGTACGAGGTAGTACCCAGTTGGATGTAGGCATTAGGGCTATATATATCATTTGTATACTTTTAAAAACTCTTGTTTGGGCCTGGATATACAGGCCTTTAATACAACGTACTTAGGAGGCTGAGGCAGGAGTATTATAAATTCAGAATTTATCTGGGAAAGTTATCAAGACTTTGTTTCAAAATAAGAACTAGAGGAGACGTGCTCAGCGGTAGAGCACATATGTGTGCAGAACCCTACATTCAATCCTGAGTACATACTTAGATACATACATACATATGTGTGTATACATATATATGCATATATGATTAAAAACCTTCTGTCTAAGCCTGCCTATTTTGAAAGAGATAAACTCCAAGTCTCTCTGCTCTCATATCTCTGTGACAGACTACTAAGTTGGCTTTGACAAGCTCGAGCCCTTGACAGCTGTCTGAGACACAGTCTTGGAGCTGGGCATAGCTGCCTTTGAGTTATTCGGAGGACACACTAGGTGCTTCTTCACCTCCTGCATTTACTCGTTACAAAGCAGAGGGGCTATTCTCAGGGATGTCTTGAGAGTTAAATGCACCACTATGCAGAAGGGTTCCTTGCCCCTTGTAAGCAGGAGCAGAAAGTGCCCTTGGATGCTGACATGGCCTCTCTGGCATCATCCCACAGAAGGTGCACCTGGTCTCTTTAATTAAACTGATGTACTGTGACCCAGGCCTGTCCTTGAACACATTCACTGTTTGAAGGCAACCTTTAATGATTTGCATGCACGGGGAAAATTGGGAGAAACGAAATCTGCTAATGTATTGGTTCTCAACCCGTGAGTCGGGCCCCCTTTCAGTGTGAGTATTGTCTCATCCACTGTATACGTCGAACAGATAGATACTAACGAAATTCAGGCTAGATGAACTTGCTGCGTGGTGGTAAGTTTACTGAAAAGCATTAGATTACACACTTTAAAGAGGGAGTGTCTTTAAGACATGGAAATGCTATCAGGATTAAAATGTTTGAAAATCAGAAAGGAGGAATGCTTCCCTGCTTGTGGAAAACCCAGCGGTTCTCTTTTCAAGTGTATTGGAAGGAAATTGGGTCCTATAACACCCAGAGCCACACCTTGCCTGCTGCATTCACAAGGTCACATTTGAGAGCTCTGACTACACACCGGCCCTCTTTTCTTTCAGGCCTGCCTGCCCGGCTATTACCGAGTAAATGGGATACTCTTTGGAGGAATCTGTCAGCCCTGTGAATGCCACGGCCACTCATTCGAGTGTGACATTCATGGAATTTGCTCTGTGAGTTTATTGCTAACCTTGTGTGTCCCTAACCTGCCCATTGCTGTGTGTAGTGGGCAGTGGCTCTCTACCTCAGCTCTGACTTGGTAGACGCCAAACTCATCTGTGTCTTCAGGTATCACCTACTTTTTCGTTAAAAAAAAAAAAATACTGGGTTCACACATTGTTTTGTGGGATGAGTTGATCATCTATGGTCTGAAAATTCAAATTCTAGAACTTGTTGACTTGTGAGTTTCCATCTCAAAGGGGAAGTCCCACACCCCGTTCTTTTGTGATGAATCTGTCAGAAAACTTGAATTTTAAAGTTACTGTATGTCTTCACTTTCAAGCTGTGTGTATAAGGCATACCCAAAACATAAATTAATATCAACTCTAGAATTAGGTCTTATCCTTAAGATACCACTAATATATATCATATAGAAACATATAAGATATGCAAATTATAACATATGTAAATATACATATGCAAATAGTAAAATCTTTAAAATATACAAAGCCAAATAGAATAATAAAACATGATAAAATCACATTGTACCGTACGTAAATTTATACTTAGTTCAGCTAAACTCTACAAACAAGAGCCTCTTTCATGAGCAATGTTAGTTAGAACAGGGCTTAGCAAAAGGCACAGCTAACCTTGGGCATGAAGTCAGGCACAGGGTAACACTTACCTGGGTTCAACCAGGAGTTCCTTCTGCCTTTAAGGAATAGAGACTCTCTGTGTTCATACAAATTCACTGCTCAGAATCAGTGTGTGAATACTAATAGCCCTATAATCTGGGCATGGAAGCCCTGTGCTCTTTAGTTAAAAAGATTGATTGAGTCACACAACTAAGGAAAACTAATTCTCAGGCCCCAGAGAAGCATGAAGCCTGACATCCTGGGTGCATGCTTTCTTGTTGTTCATTAAGGGGACCTTCATTTGTTCTGTTCTCTTCTTTGTTCTGGATGCTTTATGCCCACAGCAACTGTAGGAAGTGACATCTGCTGGCGACTCAGTCCCCTTGGGATGGCTTCCCTTCAGAACCTGGGGGAGGTTGTTGCTCTATCCACCCCTCTCCTGTCATGTGGTCCACAAGCCCCACCCTACCCCACCCCAGGCTTCCTGCCAACATTCGAGGGTGACCAATGTATTGTGGATGCACTTCTAGTAGGTAGTATAGTTGCAGGAAGTCTGTGTATTAAATAAAGATTCCTTGTGCTTCTATAAACGTATAGTTGCAGAAGTATATGAAACAAGTTACATGTGGGTAGACTGTGCTCACCTACCAAATTCAGTGGATACTGAAGAAACAGGTGCTAAGTGAGCGGTACATATCTAGTGTGTCTGGTAACTACACCATTTATAATATACAACATTATATATTGTATAGACTTTGTATGTACTTTGTATATAAGTTCTAGACACTTTTTAGAAGCTGTTTTAGAGTTAGAGGGAAAACACCGCATACTAGAGAGTCCCTTGGGGAACTTGTCCAGCATCCCAGGACTAAGATCTCATGTAACTGACATTCACGCTGGTACCACACCACTCACTGAGCCATGAGCTCTCATCCCCTCAGCTTCCACTCCCATCCACTGTCTATTTTACTATTAGAATAGTGAGTTCTCTGGCTTAGCAAAGCTTTGTGTCTCTCACTTCCTCTCTTCTATGGTAGCTCACGCTTTCTGGTACTCTCCAAGAATGCCAGGCTCTCTGCAGCACACTCTCAGCTATGGATTTTCTCAAATGATCCTTCCCTGTGGTTTCACTGGAACCAGACACTGGGAAATGCTATGCCTTTTCAGAGCCTCCAGGGGACCATGACATCACTTCATCTGCTTCTGGGAATGCCACCCTGAGCCACCCAGATAAGACGGTGTCTGCTAGCCTTTTCTACTAAGCGACTGTTTCCCCTCTTTAAACAAACAATGTTTATTTTTAGGAGGAATGGGTAGAAATAAAGATAACATAGATGAGAGTTGAAAAAAAAAGAACACAAAATCTTGCTCAAGAGCAGGGTTGTGGCTCTGTGGTTGAGGTCTTGTCTTGGACCCTTCTGTCTTTTCTCTTCCAGTAAAAAGAAAGTCTCTTTCCAAAAGAGATGAATGCTCTTGCCCTCTGGCATCTAGACCACCAGCGGTATCAGCATTTAGAGTGGCCCACTCCAAAGGAAACACTGAGACACATGCTCCTTGGGCTTTTCAACAGAATTGCTAAACAGTTTACCCAAATAGAAATTTCAGTGTGGCCGTTAGATCAGATTCCACATTCCACAGATGTGCACCAACATAAAAACACAAGACTTACTTCAAAAGAGATAAGAGAGAGTTTATTCTGGAGCCAGATACTAGTGAGTGGTAGCCCAGGAATGCAGATTTAGGTTACCCCAAACCCATACTCCAATGTGGTAAGAGAAGTTTGTATAGTAACAGAACAAAGATTTATTTTAAGGCCCCCTTCGAATACACTGGTGGCATCATTAGAAGAGTTGTAACAACATGGGGATTCTCTGTTATAAGTCCCAGATGCTTTCTGCTGCTAGTCTGACTTCTGGCTGGCTGAGAAACCAGCAATCTCTTAAATTAATACATTCCAAAGGGTTTTAAATGTTAGTCACAGGGATGTCTGTCACATCAGTTGAGAGGACTGAAGACTTATCCCAAGATAAATCTTAGGCTCTGGATCTGTAACATTCCAACCTTCCTACAGTCATTGGAGTTTTTATCAGTCACCCAGCCTTGCAGAAGGTTCTTTTTTGTCCATTCATGTTTCAGGCCAGCATAACTCAGCATTTTGAAAATGTACAACAGGATTAGTTCAGCCATGTAATTTCCTGCTAAGTCTCTTTACATTTTTTAAATGCATTTGGGTTAACAATTGAAGGTCATAGGGGTATGGAAAGGAAAACCAGACTGCAATTGCTTCCTCAAATGCTTGAGAACAACACAGGCTTTGCCTGGAAGCTCCTTAGAAATGCAGGCTCATCTCTGAAGCCTGAATCCAAATCTTCAGCTCACTGTGGTTGGTGGTCAGTGTCCACATTTGAATTAGGCCCTCAGTCCTGGGATAACTCAGTAAGAAAATCTGGTTCAGCCCTGATATGGAATGTATATGATGTCAGGTGTTTATAGAATGGAGTTTAGACTCATACACAGGGATCTGTCAGCCTCAGGAATTGCAGAAGTGAACATAGTGTAGAAGACACAATCCTATTCAAATGGATGCGTGGAAAAATAACCAAGTATATAAAATAAGTGGCTTCCAAAAGCTTGGAGCTCAATGCAAGTGGGGCGAGGGGATAATCGGGTGCCGTAAAATACAGGGTGGATACTTAAGGAGACTAAGTCAGGGGGGAAGCAGAGTGTGAGGAAGCTTGTACGGAATAGGCCCAGCAGCTACTTGAAGCCTGCACCTGAGGAGATGGTTGGCTCATCTCTAACCATGGTCTCTTGCCTGACTCACCTACCGTGCCCTGCCCTGGCCAACAGTTTCTATTTTCTCTCCCCTCTCCCCTCTCCCCTCTCCCCTCTCC